TGACGGCTGCTAGCAATTCATTCCCGACTGCAAAGCAGGTTTCCCAAATCTTTCAGCACGCTGGCAGGGTAGCAAAGAAATGTGTCCTTGTTGTAGCCCTCCCAAGTGGTGCACATAGAAGTGGTAGTTTTTTGCCTGGGGTGCCTGAAGTTAATGCACAGATGTGACTTCAGTGTAACATGGGAAAACCTGGCTTACCTTTGAGCTAGCTAAAACTGGGGCACCAGCATGCAGCCCAGGAGCGTAGGATAACGTAACATGCTTTGTGGCATGACTGCAATGTAAAGTACCTTGAAAGAAAAGAAAGCCAACTGCAGTTTAAAGACCTTGACGCCTTTGGTTTGCAGACATATTCAGCGAGTACTGTATACTGAATCTGTGCGTTGTTCCAGTGCTGCATATTTTCATTTTCAATTGTGCATATCCAAAAATCAAAAGATTTGCCACTGGTCTACCACGACTTCCTTGGTCTGGATAGTTCAGCACTTACTAGCACCTGCTGCTTCAGAAGCAGCCACACTCAGGTGTGATACACACCTGGCCACATCCAGTATGCATGTTTGCACACCTACACTGAAGGGAATTGTACAGCGAGGGCAAAACAACAATCTTCTCCACTAATACAAGTGTTCATTCACTCTTACCCCCCAAAGCCATACCACTCGGCTCATTTTATTATCTAGCTTGGTCCGCCGCAAAAGCTGTTCTTGGTCAAAAGTGATAAAAACATTTTTTTCTGTCTTAAGTATATGTGAATCTTTTCTTTTTTTTTAATCTGGTCTCAATGTGTGCCATCCTGACATAACCCTGCAACAACTAGCCACTGCCTAAACAAATCCCTAGACCGACGGTTTGCAACCTTTATAGACTCAAGGTTCCCCTTGTTAGACTCGAAGCACCCTTTGGAAAATACCCGCTCTTGGCTTTCACTCATTTACTACAGGAAAATAATAGAGCAAATCTACTCAGACCACAGCGGGATGTTCTTGACACTACAGATTCCTATTTGAAACCTCTGGGTTTCTCTTGGGAATGATATGTAAGCATGGCCAGATCTGGGATTTAGAAAAGCTGGGTGCAGATGTTGTGGCACATCATCATACATAACACAACACACATTTTTCAGCAGTTAAAGGGAAACGATATGCTTTACTAATACCCTCAGGGAGGCCAGCCCTATGTTGTTCAGTTTACGCTCAAAGCAAAAACAAAGAGAGCTACTGGAAAGTGCACGAATTTGCTGGATGATATCAAGAGGGTCCCCAACCCTCCAGGGTTGCCCTGGAGTCTCCAGGGATTAGATATAAATCTCCAGCAGATGGCTGAGAGTCACCTGGGAGATCAACGATAGGGCATTCATTAAAATAGATGTGATGAAATGTTGAATCTGATTTTATGCAGTAGTCCGGCAGGTTTGTTTTAAATGTAATAGTCATGTGCATTTGCCTTCCTGATGTAAAGTCTATGCACTGTAGTCCATAACTGATACATGAAAGCACACGGGCACGTTCGCATTGTCACAGGCAGGTTGGCGTTCCAGAAATCTCCCGAAATAAATTCAAACGGGGTTGGCAACTACTAGGCTGGGAGGGGGCTAGGGCCGTGTCGAAGCTAAACCAACTAGAACTCGGATGCTTGGAGCCTGGGGCTAGTAACACCAAGGTGGCCGGTGTGATCCCTGTTTGGACTACATCACCTCTTGAGGTCCCTTCCCAGCCTGACTTCTTGATGAGGATCTAAGCGCAGGGCCATTTCAGGGGAAGGAGTTAAAAAGCAGTCTGCAGGGCTGTGAAGGAGGAGCTCCAGGACCAGGAGGAGCCAATAGAGAGTGGAATTGGAGGGGGAAGAGGGGTATTGTGGTGGGGCTGGAGGGGATTGGGGTGTCCTGGTAGGGTTGGGTGGGGGTGGGGGTCTTGTGGTGGGGTTGGGTAGGGATTGGGCTGTCCTGGTGAGGTGGGGGCTTTGGGTGTCATGGTGGGTTTGGGTGGGAATTGAGGTGTCCTGGTGAGGTGGTGAGGATTGGGTGTCCTGGTGGGGTTGGGTGGGGTTTGGGGTGTCCTGGTGAGGTGGGGGGATTGGGTGTCCTGGTAGGATTGGGTGAGGATTGGGGTGTCCTGGTGAGGTGGGGGATTGGGGTGTGCTGGTGGGGTTGGGTGG